TGCAATATTTGCTAGTTTTGGGCCACCAACTGCTGCATGGTCTCCAACATTTGCTGGAGCATTTGGGACAGGGTTGGTGGGAGGAGGAGCAACCTCCTCCTCTCGTGATGGATTTCCTTTATGTTGATTTATGGATCTGATAGTGATCGTCATTGGATCAGCAAATGGAATATTTAAGAGTGAGAATTTTGTTGTTTTCTACAGACAGTGCCAAACTGATGATGCACAAAATGATTTTGCACACCACCTGTCAAGTGTGAATAATAAATGCAAGAAAATTAATATCAGGAGATGGAGAGACACAGACAATTTATAGTGGTTTGGTCAGCTCGACTTATGTCCACTCTTCAATGGCTCTGATTGTCGGGTATTTTAATAACTCAAGGGTATGGGGAACAGAGAGTACAAGCTTTGAGGGAGAGGATAGAGTAGTGCTCAGGTGATGTGTGATGCCCCCAAGTGTTGGTGGCGCGTGCAATTTATAGTAACCTTCTTAATAGGTTGGGGCTACTTCTCAGCAACTAAGCAACTATTTCGATAGAGCTCACGACTTCCTCTCAACGGGTGAGGTAGTTGAGGAGCTTCCCATGAGATGCGGTCAAAGATAAGGCAAGGGTGGACCGTTTCCTCTTACGGTGCAGGTAAGGCGAGGGTGGATCATTTCCTTCTGCAGTGCAGGTAAGGCCCCACACTTTTCCTCTTGATGACATAGCCGAACCGATAAGACTGGACTTGGACAATATTGAGCTTAGTGGGTGTTTATAAGATTAGGCTCTTCAATTGAGGTTTGGGTTTTCCAAATAAATTGAGTCATTTTGGACTTGACCCATCAGAACTTTACCTTAATTTCCATCCAGTAAAAACATGATACGTGAACTTTTTTTATTAGCTATAATTTTATCATTTTTTTTTGGGTAAATTATATGAAGTTCAAATAAAGAATAGTAGTCTAGATCAAATTTCAGCACAATAGTAGTGTCTTATCCTGCAGTTTCTTAGAGCATCTTCAATATGCTCTCTATTATACCTCATTTAGTACCTTAGTGTTTTACATCCTTAAGTCTTGGTGGCTGTGACAATTGCCTACTCGCTGATGCAGAATAAATGAAAGAAAATTATGACATTTCATTTGAGCGTGGTCATCCTGATCAGTTAGAGAATTTTATAATAACGTTGCGTTTGGTACGCAGTAATATATTTATATAGGAATGAAATGAACATGAAAATAAAATAAACTTGAGAATGGAATGGAATAGAATGTGTATTATCATTCCAATGTTTGGTAAATAATTAGGATTAAGTCTTGGAATGGAATAGGCATTCCATTCCAAAGTTTGAATAAAATAATTTCTATTAGAATAGAATGAAATTTAACAAAAATAACTTTTTATCATAAAATTTCCAACTTATTGCATACTGCATTATAATGAATATTTCTGTTAATTTTAAAATTTGAAAAATTAGATTAAATATGTAGTAAATAAAGTCACAAAGAGTCACATAATGAAAAAATTCACTAAAAAATAATAAAAATTAATAATAAACAATAAATAAAAAAATAAAAATGCGATACGTTAATCAATATTCTACATAATCTTTCATAAATAACTTTACCCGCTCTATCCAACACCAGTATCCTCCTTAAATTCACAAACCAACTTCCTCGTAGTACGCAACATAGGGAGCCCCCTACTGTCCTGCATCAATATCACTCTGACTGCATAAATAAAGTCTTCTCGGAAGTTTTCTGGTGAAACAAGTAAGTCCGTGCAATATTGGAATTACCCTCGACTTAGTGCCACGGCCTCACTAGTAGGTGTGGAAGTAGACCTTGAATAAAGTTCCAAAACCATATCAAACATTAGCAAACCCACAAGAAAGAATCAACAAGAACCAACCACATAGTCTAACTTAGCTAAAGAAGCACATACAACATGACCCTTATGTAATAAGGTGACCCATTCAACCTCAATTGTTTTTTGAGTATTGGAAAAAAAAAGTATTACTTAGAGTGACCCACACGGATTACAGATATTCCACAGTTGAATAATTGCTTTGCTCAAGAAAAATACATGCTTGTTTAGTGACTTTATCAATACCTGTTAGGCCATGGCTGATTGGTGTAATACTACTAGCTACTAAGCCAATTTAGCCAAGAAGAAGGAACTTGGCTAAATAACACCCCAACACTAAAGTCGAATGTTGAATGCTAACGTTAGATGTCCACGATTTCCACAACAAAACCCCTGATTTTCTTGAGCACTGTAAAGATGAAATGCATATTGACGTGCAACTCAATGGACTAGAATATCAAAACACATTTATGGGCTAATAATATACAAATGAAGAAGCTAAGTTGAATACTTCCGAGCCACACTACATCGTACGTTAATTATAGTTGTACAATGAATCAAACGGCTGAACACCCCATGGACCTTTAAACTTAACCATACACCAATACAACAGACTGTACAACTTGAAGAGGATATTTCTAACCAAAAACCAACCAGAAGGAATCAATGGCAAGTCAAATTGAAAGCATAGAAGAAAATTACCGTGGAAATTTATATTAGGCCTTGCAAAGGCTAGAATTGCATTGCCTTCACAACTTGCTAACACATTTGACTTCTAAAAGAAATTTGTAATCTGCCTATCCTCATCAGTACAATTGTACATCATTATTATCGGTGGACCGACAAGGCCATGGAGGGACAAAAATAAGTACAATTGTTCCTTACACTACATTTGAGAGCACAATCTATGTGAGTAAAATAAAAATGCTTCTGTCAGACATTTTCTCAAACATCTTCAAAACAAGATCCAAATCCCCACGAGCCAATTACATTTGTTCATCGATTCTGCATATTAACTCTTACGGTGTATTGGGTTGAGTTGAGTCTAGGTTTGACGAACAAAATTTCGATAGGTATAGAGGTACAAAGTTAAAACTACAAAAGATACGGGTAATTGTGATATTATTTTATTTCTTAACTTAATTAGGAAATTATGTTATTTTTTATACCCAATTGTCAACGATTGTATGTCGTTAGTTTATCTTAGCACATGTATATACAAATGCACCAGGAATCTTTAATAAATTATTGGCAAAATTAGGAATTCTCTAGCTCTACGTATTCAGCCACTCAACTTGGCAAGAAATTTTGATAAATAATTTGAGTGTGATTCTTTCCTACATAAGAGCTGTGCAGAACTTAGCAAAGAGATTAAAGACCCCACACACCCGAACACCTTTTAACCCTTCAAGCAAGTTCAAGTTCAAGTTCATTCTTTTGTGGTGCATGTAAACAAAATTGGGATCGGTTCATCTACAATTGTAACAAGTGTGACTTTGGCATTTGCATTCCATGTTTCTTCGAGGACCGCATGGTTAAACTTACAGTTCACCAGCGCCCATTAGCCGTCCTACTTAGGCCATCCTTGTTCTTTTGTGATATTTGCAGCATGGATTGATCATGTCTAACTAAGATTGATCATTAGAAAACCTTCTTGGTTGTTATTCTTATGACGGTGGTAGCACGGTACTTTATTGACCAAAAAATCTTTGGATTTTTCGGTTTAGTGTTCAGGGATATTCGGTTTAATTTACGTAAATTTTAATTAATATTTTTTTTAATTCTGTTAAATACTGACTATTCACGTTAGAACTAGAATATTAGTAAGAGATAAATCTTTTATTATTTGACCTAAAATATTATCACAATTTAATCTCGTAACGTTTAAATTTATATCATTTAACCTACCTTCAGCTACGGACGACGAGTAGTCGAAGGACTAGAGATTTTCTTTTTTCTTAATTAAGAGCCTTCACTGATCAATAGTCTAAGTGAACCTTACCGGGGAAAAGGAAAAGTTTCTACTTTGAAAGTGACGTTTGTGGGGAGAACTGCAAAAAAAAAAAATGCAATCGTACCTTCTTGTCGGTGAATTATATTTTTACCCCCTCAACTATACCTTAGTCTCACTTTGCCCCCATCAACTTGAGTCTCTCACATTTTTTTTTGGATCAACGGTCAGGATGTCTATATTAAATTACGTGCACCTCGATTAATTCACTTCTTAGTTCGATCAAAGGCAAAGCATCCATGCCCGGACTAAAATAGTCAAAAAAAATTATCAAAATTTGAACTCAAGACATTTACGATCGATCTCTGTTACCAGTTGAGCTATCTTAAGTTTTCAAATCTCTGACAATGTCTCATAGAGTACTTGAATTGGTTTTAAATCACCCCATAATCAAATGTTCATCATGTTTCAGACATAAAATGTCCACATGTATAGTAAAATACACATTTCTAATATCTAGATTTTGAGTAATATGAAACAGATAAACATAGTTGGAGATGTACCATTAGCAATGTGATAGTTGAGATGATAGTGTAAGAACAATAACATAGAATTCAGTTGAAGGGACAATGTGAGGTAAGACACAAAGTTGAGGGGTCAAAGTGTAGTTTTTGAATCCTTTTTAGGTAGAGTCCGAGGAGTCTTGGTGGTTGTCACAGTCCTAGCCATTTGCTTCAGACTTTAATACCTTCTTGTTGCAATTTTCAATACCCTCTATCTCTTCTTGTTGCAGTTTTCAGTACCCTCTCTCTCTCTCTCTCTCTCTTTCTCTCTGTGTCTCTCTCTCTCACACACACACACACACACTTACACTTAGATGGAGCTCAAAAATCCCATCCATGAGCATCCACTGATCCTCAAGGAAGTGCATAATGAAGAAGGTAAGAAAGTTATCTGCTACGGATGTAGGGAACCAATCTTAGACACTACATACAGTTGCAAGGAGTGTGAAAATTATTTCCTGCATAGAAGATGTGCAGAACTACCCGCGGAGCCTCAACTTATTGAAACGTTCGACTAGTAAGAACCATTCAACTTACATGTGTGATGTTTGTAGAGGAACACAGGCTCAATTCACTTACTATTGTTCCCATTGTCATTTCAACATCTGCGTGTTATGTTTCTTGGAGGAGCCCATGATTACACTTCCGTGTCACGGGCACCAATTAACTCTTCTACGCAGGTCAGCCAATTTCAATTGCAATGCTTGCAAACTAAGCGGTAAAGGCTCATCGTATCTATGTTACACCTGTCAATTTTGGATTCATAAGAGTTGCGCTTTGTCACCTACCACAATTGAGCTTGATTATCACCATCATCACCGTCTCAACCTGAACTACAAGTATGTATCATCGAAGTTCAGCGACTATAAGGACCGTTGCAATAGGTGTCGTAAGGAAATTATCGATGGTTCTTGGGCTTATCGTTGCGAAGCCCAATGCAAGTATTTTGTCCATTTCGAGTGCGCAATTTCAACATTGAGGTAAGTTTAATCCTTTTTATATACGTCTTTTCTCTCTCTCTCTCTCTCTCTCTCAGGGTCGGCCCTAGTGTAAGGTCATCTAAGTCTGGGTTTTCGGTCTCATTTTTTTAGTTAATTCCCATTATTAATAATTATAACTACTGGCCCAAATAAAAATTTTAATTTTATAAAAACTTATGCCCAAAAAAATAATTACTTCCAATAAATTAGAAAATGATAATATAATTCAACAAAAGGATAATAACGAAAATATGCACAATTGAAATATTAAGTTTATAAAAAATGATTAGATTCTTTTCCGAATGTATGCATTGCTTTACAGAATATTATTGACAATTCTTATAATTATTGCTTTCTTAGAATTTTTTTTTTCAAAATTAAAGTTGATAAAATCTTATATAAGATCAACTATTTCACAAGAAAAATTAAGTGCATTAGCAATATTATCAATCAAAAAAAATAAGACAGTGAAATTTGAATATAAAAACTTCATTATTAATTTTTGCATCTCAAAAAGCGAAAGGGATAAATTTTAAATAAAATATTATTTTTAAAAATAATAGGCCTTTCTTTTAGTTGTCGCTTTAGCCCCAGGATATCATGGGCCGACGCCCTCTCTTTCTCTCTCTCCTCTTAACGAAATTCTTGCAATGCTCTTGGTATTGTTAACTGAAATTGTATTCTAAATTTGTGATTTCAGAGGTGGTGGCCGTAAGAATGGAGCAGAAATGAAGGAAAATGGTAAGGATGATCTAGACATTAATTTGATACGCTTACCGCTGGCCGGTGATTCCTTAGATCTAGTTAGATATTTTGTTGAGCATAGTAATCAAGAAGAGACTAAGGGTGAAACAACGATCGATCATTGGACTCATGACCATCAACTAATCCTTGTCGATAAGCACCATAACAATGAGATGAAGGGTGACCAAAAAATTTGCAATGGTTGCGTGCAACCAATCTCGCCTCCATATTACATTTGCGAAATATGCAATTACTTTCTTCACATAAGTTGTGCAAACTTGCCAAAAACATTGCGACTCCCAGGGCACCCTAAACACCTGGTTCAGTGTTCGCAATACTCCGAATTCTATAAACTCTTCAAATGCAAAGCATGCAAGTCATATAGCAACGGATTCTACTACAAATGTGGGACTTGTAAATTCTACCTAGATGTCAAATGTGCTTTTCTACCATTAACGATTACACATGAAGCTGACGAGCACCCATTGGTTGAAACTGAATGTGTAACACATAAGTGCCATGCATGTCATTATCCTTCCCGGGGGATGAGATTTCGTTGTGATTCTTGCAAATTCAATCTATCCTACAAGTGTGCTCTCCTCCCGCATACTATCAGGCATAGATGGGACAAACATCCACTCAACCTATTCTACAAAACTATCAATGACCATCCAGACGAATTCTACTGTGAATATTGTGAGGAAGAAATAAATCCTCAATGTTGGCTCTACCATTGTGGCGAGTGTGATCAATCATTTCATCCTAGATGTGTTTTTAATGGTTATTCAAACACCAAATTTGGGGGAATCGTTGAAGTTGATGAGCACCCACACTCTCTCATGTTTGTGCAGACGGCAAAGAGGATGTCCACTTGTTGCAGATGTGGTAGTGCTTTTAAGGATTGTCCCTCATTCGAATGCCAAGTTTGTTACTACGCTGTTTGCCAAAGATGTCTTGATAAGTTACATGTTAAGAATTCCAAAGGGTGGGGAAAATGATGGAAGAATATGATTAGCATTTTCCTTGTTATAAAGTGTGCAAGATGTATTTAATGTGAATAGTTTGTGGATAATTATGCACAGTTGATGTTGAATTATAGTCACGAGTCCAAAATATGTGTTGTGGCGTTCTACATTATAATACAAAAATGATTTAGATTTCCATTTGACCAAGAATCTCTCTTTAGAAGTCTAATTTGGTACTTTGGTTGTGCATTTCAAAGATTTTTTTGGGTTTTCTTTCCTTTTTGAAATATTTTTTAAGTTTTTTTTGGTTTTTTTGTATTTAGATTTGCTCTTTTTGTCGAAGCCTAATCATATGCAGGGTAGTATAAATATGAACATCCATAAGTGTGCTGTTTTCATAAACAATGTTTATATATCACTTTTTTGAATAGTAGTCAAACAACAATCGGTTATGAATTAATAATTTTTTCAAGTATCTGAATCCAAAACACATAAATCTTACTATACAAATTTGAATTAAGGTATACTAGTATCTAACCGATTGTAATATGATCCGAACTAATTATATCTATAAATAAATATATACTAAAATTGGGTGATTATTATGATAAAAATTGAGTTGAAATTAAGATGTATCGTTTTTTAAGACAGGAATTTCACAATCAATTAAGAGAGGGTGACTCAAAGCAAGCGGCACTACTCACTATCCCATACCCATTTTGTTAGGCGCGCAAAGGAAAGATATAAGGAGAAACTCTAAAGACAGCATAAGAGTCTTAAAAGACCGAAAGAAAGAGAGAGAATAGGGGGGTACATCCCCAACTTTTTGGTTGTGTATCAGAATTTTGTCGAATTGGGAAACAAAAAAAAAAAAAAAATTCTTCGCATAATCTGGAATGGAGTTTCCTAATTAAATTCTCAACAACAATATAATTTTTTTTATAAAAATAATAGAATTTTTTTTTGTTTATTTAATGATTTGCCCATTTTTTTTGCAAGGGTGTACCGTAATGTCTAACATAATCAATAAAAAATTATGTGATTAGCCTTTATAATGTCTAACATAATCAATAAAGATTCTTTCATACATGCCTTGTCAATGGATGAAATTTTAACTTGAATTTGATTCGATTTTAAATTTTGATTGGTCAGAACGAATTAATATTTTCGAGGGACTATTTGAGTCCGAATTGAATATATATAATATTTTACGAATTCAAATTTAGATATACTAAGATTCAATTTGATTCTGATTGAATCCAATTTATATATGTGGATATACAATGAAATTAATGTAATAAAATCCAATTTGAATTGACTCACAGATATGACCCGATTTTTAATATTTAATTTATATAGATATGGACTATAAGAAAATCGTTAGATTATCGGATCAAATTCAAAAAAAGTTTTGAAATTCAATTTAGATCTAGATTTCTAAATCGAACTTTGATCACTCGAAATTTGATCCAAATCCAACAGTTAAAGGCCGAGTCACTATTTGTTTGAAAGGGGCCATGAATTTTGACGATTATCGTGCGATCATTTTCTCTAATTTGGTAGTAGTCTCTACTCTAAAGAAATACTGGCTCTGTCCCCGTTTGGTTATGAAATTCTGACCCTAGCTAAGCCAATTAAAAAGTAATCTAACTGTATATAATCTCATTGTACTCCCATCCGCAAACCAAGTCAAAGTATCCAAATGGAGTTGCTCACCTTCAAGCATGACCAAAGCTCGTGTCTCATCAATCGTCTAAAGATTTTCATTTTTCCTTCTCTGTAGGCTTATTCTTAACAGGTTTCCATAATAAATGAACGAAATCAATTAGATTTGTAGTTCGACATTTAAATCATCCACTGATGTTCACGTTCCAAACTAATGAGACTACGTTATGTGGGATGTGTTGAGCCGTACGTACGTAAACAAGACAATTGTCGTAATCGAAATGAGATTTCACGGCTATTTTTATTTTATTCTTTTTATGAAAATGCAAAAGAAGAACATAGGGAGTGTTTGATTTGGTTTTCAAAAATTATTTTTCGTACTCAAAACTCTAAAAACAAAGAGATGTTTTTTGTTTAATTTTTTTATTCTTCAAATTTTAGAAAATGAGATGTAATTTTAGAGAATAATAAAATGACGTTCTCATTATTTTCTAAGACAAAATAAAAATAAGGGAAACAGTTTATTTCAAAATTAATTTGGTTTCCCTTTCGAATTTCATTGAGGACAAAAAAATTCTTTTTCCTTCTTATGCGTCTATTGTGAGTCTGTGACTTCCCTCCCATACGCCCAACTCCCAAATCCCTAACCCTAATCGCCATCGCCACCGAAGCTACCGGAGTACCACCACCAGTGAGTGAACCCACCTCCATTGCTCTAAAAACCCCAAACCCAGTGAAGCCCCCATCCCCAAATCCAGCGAAGCCCTATCCTCAATCCGTCGAATCAGCACGTGGTTCCACCAACAAAGGAACCAGTCGTCCAATGGAGCTCCAACAGCTGCCAGAACACAGATCTGAGTAGCCTCCACTGCCTCTTTCTCTCTCCTTCGCAACTTCTTCTTTGCTCACTTTGTGTTTTGGGTGGCTCTGGGTTCGGTGGTTGTTTTTTGGGTGGTATTGTGCGGTTTTGGGTGGTTCGGTGGTGATTTTTATTTGGTGGTTGTGGGTGGTGAAAGAGAGATAAACAGAGAGGTGATGGGTGTTGGTGGTTCCCAGCGTGGGTTGGTGGTTGTTGGGTTGGTGGTGGTTGTGGGTGTTGGGTGATACACAATGAAAGAGAAAGAGACAGATATCTGCAAATTGTGAATTTTTGTCCAAACAAACAAAAGTTGGGTGATTTTTGCATTTTTTTTTGAAAACATCTTTTTCTTAGTTCAATTTTTTCCGCTCGAGTCAAAGCATCAAGCTTGTGATAGTCGAGCCAGGTACTGGCCGGGACTGCAGTCCAAGGTCAATGTTCATGGGTTGGGTTTAAACTGAAGCCAATGTTTGTGGGTTTAAGCATCCAAGCCAGATACAAACAGGCCAGGACTGCAGTCTAGGACTTCAAAATTTTATCCAAATATGAGTTTTATTGCTCTATTTTTCCTAAAACCCCATCATATCAAACTCTGCTTACCCATCTACCAAAACAGGCCCATTAGGTATAGCCCAAGGAAGGTCCAGTCCAAAAAGATAAAACAAAAACAAACATAGAAAAAAAAAAAGGTGCGAATTTTTATTTTTAATTTTGTTCTATTTTTGCACAATGATTATCCAATATACATTTTCCGATGAAATTAAGAAGCAATAAAAGTTGCATGATGGATTATTCTATGCAGATTTTCACCTCATAATATTATTTTGGGATTTGTCAATAAAATTATGTCATCGACAATTACCACAAAACCATATTTTTGCCCACATTCTCGACAACTACACAATTTAAGTCGCGACTACTATTGCTCAAACCAAGGGCGAAGCTACTAAGGGGCCAGGGGGCCTGGCCCACCCTTAAAATTTTTAATTTTATATGTGCATAAATGTATATATTTTATATATTACTAGCATATAATGTATTGTGCCCACCATATCGCTCTCATACTTCTATAATAGTTTTTTGATACTACAAGTTGCGATTAGTTTATTTTTATGTTTGATCATTTTTATTGTCTTAGGATTTTCTAGTTTCTTAATTTAAAAATTAAATCCCTTGCAAGTGTTTTTTATTTTCGTGTAAATGACCATCTCTATTTTTTTGTGACCTATTAAATGTTATGTTTGATGTTTTTCTATTGAGTTTTAATAGCATACTATGTTTAATTCTTAGATTTTTTTGTCCATAACTTTGCTATTTTAATCATAGTGTAGTGGATTCGACAAATTTTTACGTTAACTATCGGCTACTTGACACAACCCTCATTTTTTATCTTGACTTGGGACAAGCAAGCAGTGTTGAATACAACACTGCCGGAGTTAACTTTGCTATTTTAATATGTAATGATAATACACATTATATATTCTATCAATTAAATTCAAAGTAAAAGGATATGAAAATCGATCAAATAACCGAATTGTTATAATTAGTGTTTTTCTTTAGAGTATCTCTAATCATGACTCAAATTTTTATTCAAATTTAAATTAAAATTTAAGTAAAAAGCTTGATTTGATACAAAAGGGTCCGACGATGTACAAATTTAAATTTAAAAAAGGAGAAATTCAAATCTAAATGTGGGTAAACTCAAATTTAAATGAAAATAAAAATGACTAGTGAATCTTTAAAAGGGGGTGAAATTTCACAATTAAAAATTTGGGTAAAGATTTAAATCTCTCTTGATTTGAGTCTCCTTTAATATAATAAATTAAATCTAGATACCATTATTCTTTATTTGCTATAAGGTAAATATTAGACCGGTCTCATAAACTAATTAAATATTCTTAAATTCCTTTATTTGTTTAAGTGTGAGATAGCCATATCATTTATACCATCAACTTTGGTTGAAATTTATTCAAACTAGCAAAACTCCTCCAACAAAAGGTCATATACATAGATAAATAGTGGGTGAAATCCTTTTTAACATTAACTCGCAACGATTTGATAGACACCGTTTTCACTTGACATGATTATCAACATTCCTCTCAGAATTATTCATATTTCATCATGCTTTTAGGCATGAATTATCCCTAGTCTCATACATAGTACAAAAAATTTTCAATTATATGATATTTTGTACGACCCATAAATTATATAAATTTTTCACCGTTGCCTAGATGCTTAACTTGTTTAATGCAAATATTATATGTTGATGGTGTGCCATGAATCACGCTGCCGATAAGAATGCTAGCCAATTGCATCAAGTCGAAATTAAAAAAAAAACTATTAAATTAGGTTTCGTTTGGTAACGTTTATATTTTTCGTTTTTCATTTTTATTTTGATATTTAGAGAAAACAAGAAAAAAAATTTGTTTGATAACCGTTTTTTTTCTCATCATTTTGTAAACGAGTGGCGATTTTCAAAAACGAAAAAAAATGTTTTTCGTTTTTTGATTCTGTTTTTCGATTTTTAGAAAATTAAAAATCGTAAACGTTACCAAACGAGCCCTTAATATTTAATAATATCATTAGCACCGACAATTTCAACTACTTGTTATTTAATAGGTTGAATTATACTTTGCATCTCAAAAAATTTAAGAAATTTATTTTATAGTCTCAAAAATAA